TTTTTTTTTTTTTTACTTCAAATGATGGTGAGAACTAAAAAAAAATCATAAAGACATTTACACATCTTGTCTTATTTTGAATCGGGGCTCAAACACACATCGACGTCTTGTTTTTCCCAAATCAAGAGGTAAGTAATATCTTTTATCCTCTCTCTCTCTCTCTCTCTCTCTCTCTCTCTTTGAGTAGCTAACAATTTTTTTCGAAAAGGGATCCAAGTCACGACTGCGGTTGATATCAGGAACCGATCAAATAGGTATATTTTAAATATGTACATGCAATTTATAGTGTATTGTTTTTACTATGTTTGAAGTTAAACTGATTTCCATTAAAATATTATTTCAGAAAATAAAAAATGCAAATGTTTTTTTTTTTTGAATTATTCGTATTTTAAATGAAAATATTATTGTTTTTTTGGTCTTGTTATTGGTATATTATTGTTTTTTTGGTTATAAATTTTATTCAATTAGCCTTTTACGTGTGTAATGCATTGCTTTCCACCAAATGTATATGTAGTTCTAAAACATTGTTTATGCAGTTCTACAAAATTAGTTAACCTCTTCATGTTGGAATTTTGTATGCAAATTATAATCCAACTATATAAATATTACAGTAGATAAAAAAGAATGTGGTCTGAAGTTTTACCTCTATATGCTAGTTTTTAAAATAAACAGATTGACCAAAATGTTTTGCGGTTTATATAGAAAAATATAGGGTCTATATATGTCAAATGAATTAATGGCATTTGTTAGTAGTTATTGAGAAGATTGATATGGTCTATTATATTTAGTTAATTTAAAAAATTAACTGATCAATTTTATTATGTTGTATTTTACTGTGCATTAATCATGGAATCATGGTTGTTTTTGCAGTTATAAATTTAAAGATTCAAATTTTTTGGTTCATTTTATATTGCCCAGAGTCTACATAGTAAGAATAAAGTCATGCAATAAAAATGTTAAATTGGAATAAATACAGTTTTTTATTAATGAAATTTTAAATATGACATGTATTGAATCACGCAAAATTAAAATTTTTGAATATTCAACTTTATAAATGCCCAGAAATCATGCAGTATTGATATTGGTAACTGAAAAAATTATAATGTCATATGTTTTCATTATTAATGAATAAGAAAGTCAAAGAGAAATAATATTTTCACTATCAATGGTGTTGATAGATTTTTGTTGCTTTTTTCTACAATTTTATTAGGGGATGTTATTTGGCTAGCTTTTGATTTTATTTTTTTTTTTAATTTCATTTTTTTAATGCAATGTTGTTATATGCTTATTTTTGTATATTATACTTACAACATTACAATTTCTTTATTTTTATTGTAATTAATTGTTAAATTTTATTCTTGTCACTAATGCCTACATTTTGCATGCAGGAATAATTGGATGAGGTATTGCAGGATTCTATATTATAGGAATTATTATAGTATTTTATTGGATTTTGTACATTAATTGAACTTGAATTCTATATACGTGTAATAATTTAATCAATAACACATTTTTATGTTACATACATGTATCAATACCAGGTATAAAAAATATAAGAAAAACGTTACAAACTATATATTAAAATAAACTTACCATTTTGGGCCAAAATGTTTTAGGCGGGAAAAACATGGAGGTTTTATTAAATGTTTTATTAAATGCTATATGCCAGCAATTATATATATATAGATTATACCTGCATTTTTTATAATTAAAAAAAAAAGTTACCATAGAATAATATGTGATGCTTTTTTCTCAATAGTCTTGGTCAAAAGATTTGTTTGGATTACTTATTCAAGTTTTTCTTCTTATTATTTTTTGTTTAGTGAAAAAAAAAATATGATTTTCTCAATAATATTTCGGGCAAGTACTATATTGTTATATATTTGAAGATGAAAAAATTTGAGCCCCAACGAAATATTTTGAGATTTCTCATAACCATATTTTCATTTGCAAGTTGTTTCTTCTTCAAATAGTTTGTTTCAAATATTGTAAATGAGAGAAGTAGGATTTGAATAGGATTACATATTATTTAATAATTGCAATTAAAAAAAAAATGCTATAAATAATGAATAAATATAAATGAAAGATATTAATTTAAGATTGATTGGTAACAAAAGAAATAATAATAATATTTAATATATTATTGTAACTAAAATGCTTAGTTGGTAACCGAGCCTGATTATGTGTCGTTCCAAAGCATATAATTGTGTCAAATAAGAAGCCTGCCACATTATCAATCATGGAATGATAGATTTTGATGAATCTGAAGATGCATTCGAATATACATGGCACTTTAATATTAAAGAATTCTACGTACTTGTTAAGAAAATTATATTTAAAATTAAATAATAATAACAAAAATTATTTTAGTTTCTAAATACTTTTTTGAAAAATATATTATTATTTATAATTAAATTGATATTGTCACTTACACGAGTTACCATCATATATTATCTAATTTTATATCAGATAACTACTTTGTAGTTAAGTTAGTTTAAATGGTTATAGTTTTTGAATAATATTAATAGGTAATTTAAAAACTCATTTTAAAATACTTTATTCAATATAAATATGTAATCTATTTTAAGAATTAAATATAAAATATGGAAAAGTAATACATGTATGAATTAGTTAAAAACTCATTTAAAACTATAGAATACCAAATTTACGAAATTATAACATAATAATATCTATACTTATATTAAAAGCTATACTATTTACTAAATGTAGTATGTAGAATAGTCAACCCTAATTAATGATTTGCTATTTTTATCAAGCATTTAATTAATGCATTTAATATTTTTGGTATGCAAATCAAATTAGAATTTAATTAGTTCCTAAAATATTGGGTATGCAATATTAACTTAGGAATATCCATATAGTTCCTAAAATGTTGTTATGCAATACGTAAAAGAAGATTTTTTAATTTTTTTAAATATAAAATATTGCAGCACGTAAAACTATTCCAGTTATTTTTTATTTTATTTTACATATAAAATCTAATTAATATTTAATGCATCTTACAAAATTGGATTTAGTTTAATTCTCCATACAATTGGTTGTACCTTTTTCAATTGTACTTTTTTTATTTATTTATTTTACACTTTTAAATTAATGAAGTTCTCCAAAAATACAAAATCAAATGATTTATGAAAGTTTTTTTTTTTTTTACAATTTTAAATCTATATACCCAGCTTAAAAAACTGATCGCATAGATATGGATGAGTTTAAGAAAATTTTATAACTCAGCTTATAAAATTCCATCTCCACGAGTCAAAAAAATCACATCCCTCATCTGTCGTAACAACTTTAAAGGTAAATAAATAAAAGTCTAATTACTACTATAAATCCATTATCTATATAGATTTTTTAAAAATCTAAATTTCACCTGTCTAATTACTAATATTTTAGATACATTTAAATATTATTTATATATTTTTTTTTACACATTTGCTCTCTCTATATATATACATATCTGGGGGTTAAATGAAGAATTTTTAGACATATTTTCCTTACGGGTAGTTTAGAAAGATTTAGGTAGCTTCAAACATTACTTGTGAATAATATAGAATATTTTAGATGCTTTTATAGATGTTATAAAATATTTTAAGTATTTTTAATATTTATATATCACACTTAAAAAAAATATTTTGCCAAAAAAAATTAAATACACATTGTAAATGTTAATAGAAACAGTCTTCAGTGTTCGTCTTTGATTTTGTCAAAACAAATCTCATAAAATTGGTGAAGTCGAAATTTGTACGTAAAGTCCATCTATACTAAAAAAAAGGTAGATTCAAAATTCTTTATCTAATTTCTTATTTTCCTTATCTAATTCCTTCTTATTATCTAATTGTATAGAAATCTGTTCTGATTTTGTTCAATCCTCTAATTGTATTTGTATTATATCTCATAAAATCGGTTTAACAAAAAAATCCCATAACATCCGATAAGTAAAAAAAAAGTACATAAAATCTTTACTAAAATAAAAAAGGTTTTATTTATTATCTAATTTTTTATCTAATTGTATGAAAATCTTTTCTGATTTTATAGTACGTACTACAAATTGTGCACCCGTGTTCAGGAGCTATTTAACAGGCAAGCTCTGTGGAAATAACTCATTTAGTGCTTCTGTCTCGTGCATACGGTATGCATTTGTATTACACATACTAGAAAATTGTGCACCCCGTGCATCGCACCGTGCATCGCACGGACTCTGTACTAATAAATGACCTTAATTGTGCACCCCGTGCATCACTTGTGTTCACATTTTGGCCTATTACAGGTCACGTACTATATATATCCCGTATATTTTTCTTTATTCATTTATATAATTATAAGACTTGATAAATGATCTTAATTTTGTGCACCCCGTGCATCGCACGGGATCTGTACTAGTGATAGAGTTAATACACAAATTTATGGGAGCAATAAATTTATGAAAGAGATATTTATAGGATGCAATAATGTAAGAAGAAATAATTATTTATGGTTGATTTCAAGCCAATTATGTTTCCAATTTTTTTTTATCCGAACCTAAATACGAAGCGTAATAATTTGATACGTATGATTCCAAGGCGTGCGAGTCTGCCACTTAAACTCAACACGTTTTGAATTAATATTAATGAGATAGGGGGAATTAAAACATTATGCTGGCAAGATATGAATTTGATCTGTTTCCAAGGCTTCTTTTTTCTTCATCTTCTCTTTCTCCAGCAAGTAAGTTCTTTCCACTTCCGGCATTGACGAGATGATCGTTCGCAGCTTCAAATCAATCTCTTCCATTTTATCCATTAACCTGTCGTTCGTGAACATGCCAAGAATTACGTTTCGAATCGTCTCCCGACTTTCGATCAACGGCAAAGCTATGATCACGGCCGAAGCAATTGTGCCCCATGCAATGGCAATCACTGCCCAGAATGTGAAGTATCCCTCGTTGAATTGCCCTAACATATATAGCCCAAAAGAAAGTTCACAATTATTATAAACTATAAATTATTAGCTTTTTTCTTACTATTAATTTTCCTATAAATTATTAAACTGTACATAGTAACTATGAGTGATGGGTTTTAACTTTTACCTGCAGGGAGAGTAAGGATTGGCCACAACACAACAATGACCAAAGTAAACCCAACACCCCATTTCACAATCCACCCCTTTGCTCTACTCAACTTCTCCTCCTTAAACTCGTCGGCCGACAAATCGCTCTTATCATCCTTCTCGACCATCGTAATTTTCTTAGTCGTCCCCCAATCGTAAGCTTGCGGCCACATCAAACTGCATATGCCGTGAACCGACCCACCCACGAGTATCGAAACCAAGTTTCCGGCCAACATGGGCCCATTCCTCCCGGTCGTGTCGAGATTCACTCGCCCGTACTCAACTTTGGTGACCGTGAGCCAAGTCGTGATCCCGAGCAAGCAACCGATGATCGTGCCGAAAACGGCGCCTTTTGCATTTGCTTTTGTCCAGAGGAGCAAGAAGGCTATTGGGATGACGGCGGAGCCTATGAAGACACCCATTGCTAAGTACATCCAACCGAGGGACACACCGGCTTTGTTTAGGATGACGGCTAGGATTCCCATGAGACAACCGAAGGTTAGGACAACAGCCCTCGACACTTTGAGGATTTGTTTCCCGGTTGCGCAGGGATTTATGTAAGTGCGGTATATGTCGTACGTGCATAGGGATGAGACGGCGATTAGCTCGGAGGAGCCCGCGGACGTGACGGCCCTAATTAATGTTTTTTTTTTTTTTTAAGAATTCAATTAAGTAAAAGAGTACCATTTTTTTAATATGTGCAAAATGCAAACTTTGCTACAGATGATTGTGCAAGTTTGCAAGATTCAACTTTGCATCCTAAAGAATAGCTCAGAAGACTTACATAAAAAGCATGGTGAGCAGAAGTATAGATCCTCCCTTCCCCATCAAGGCAATTGCTGTAGCAGGCGGGACGAGCCCGTGACTCGCCTCGGCTGCCGTTAGCGGCAAATCAAGTGCCAATGCTCCTAACCCAAGTGAAGTTGCAAGAGAAAATGGTACAGCAAACCACACTAATCCACCCAACAAATAGCCCTTATGAGTTGAAGATGGCCTAGCAGCAATGGCACTCACCCAATACCCCTGTTATTTTTCTTCCGAATCCGTTAAATCATTAAAATCAAGTATAAATAAAATAAAATACATTCTTTTATGCTTAAAAATGGGTCAGGCACATACATTGTCAACAAAAACTGTACCAAAATTCCCGACGATGTTGATTATGCCAAAGACAAGCCCTCCGGAACTGAGCATCGTGGCATAAGAGCCTTTGTGGTTACCTGTTACGGGCCCACAAGATTGCCCGGCGTGTGAAATTGGATCTTCACAGTTTCGTGCCTTGCTCGCAACCTCGAGCAGGCGTCTGTATACAATGCTTGGGCTACCGAGTTCACTGCTCGAAACATACACTAGGTACACAAATATGACCAAAACCACATGCACTGCAATTAAAAAAAAAAAAAAAAAGTAAGGATTAGTTACAGAAATCGGTTTAATCAAAGAATGAGCAGTTAAAAACATATAACATACCTATTACAGAATGAATGTAGCTTGCCAAAAAGGTGGCCTTTAGGCCTCCAGCTAACGTGTACACTATAACACCAAGAGGTATTAAGAAACTCGCAGCATAAATGTTCACGCCCGTTAGGGCATTCACGACTGCCGACCCTCCGAGAAGGAGCATGGCAGTCACAATAATGTTCGTCATGAAGCAAAATGTTAGAAAAACAATATGAGCTGCAGTGCCCCATCTAAAAAAAGAAAAAAAAATACACTGAGTGTTATGATCAAATGAGGCGAATTTGAATGATTAGCGAAGTAACAAATTTACGGACCTCGCCTTGACAATTTCACAAACAGTGTGTGCGCGAGGAGCTTTTCGTTTGATCTCGATGGCCATTACACCAAACAGTAGAACCTGCTTGTTTGTATTTATCATGTCACCAATTTGTAAATGACCATATCAAAACCAAAAAAAACTCATTTAGGTTATGATAAAATCAAGACATGCCTGGATTGTAGCCCCACTTGCATACCAGAAAGGGCCACTAATTCCATATTCCCAAGCTACATTGGAGCTTTGTAAGATTGTAGCAGCCCAGGTCCACTTGTTAACAATAAACATATTCATGGAAACATAAATCAAAACTTACAATACTTTCACAACTATAAGGAGGAAAACACACACACACACACACACACACACATTCGAAACATTTCGACATAACTTACCTGGGAGACGATGACACTGGCTATGAGGCCCGTTCTGACATTTCTACCGGCGGTATTGAACCATTCCGACGTGTGACGAGATCCGACATATCTCTTTTCAAGCCATACCTAAATCAATCCAAAGATTTCAAGTTACTGATAATGACCCATTTTCATTTCATAAGAAAATCATCTGGGAACTGCAAATCTACAGAAAACACACGAAATTTTGATGCTTAATGATTTATTACCAGGAAAGAGGTGAAAACAGCGAAGAAGGCTCCAAATCCGAGAATAACAGAGTATCCAACCCCTTGATTCAGCACGGCTTTGCCTCCGAAAAAACTGCTCTGCCTCACACAACTGCCACTTTCTCCATGGTGATGATAATACTTTGCAGAGAATTCAAATGGTGGGCAGTTTATCGGGTGATTTGAAGCCATGAAAACAACTTTCTTCTTCTCTGTGTATGGGCTCTGATATCTATTGCCAGCAGAAGGAGACTTTATAATGAACGACAGAGGGGCCTTTTTTTCCTTCTTCTTCTTTTTCTTTTCTGTGTTTGTTCTTCGTAGTGAATAGTATAGCTTTATACGGTTTTGCTACGAAGCCAACTGTCGGCTTCATAGTAAAAAAAACCAACCGTAGTTTTATATTCAAAGAGCAATTATAAGTCAAAAAAACCATGGAAGAAATTTGAAGCTCATTTGGTATTAGGAGTCTTCTCTTTGTATAATTATCACTTGTTCACTTTCACTTGTTTCTAAAAGCCTAGTGGGCTTCTTCTTTGTGGCCTTCTTTTCAATTTTGAGATATTTATTTAAGGACAAAAAAATGTTTGCGTCACCATTACATAATTACATGTATTAAAACAATAATGAAATATTCGCCAAAAAAAAAAAACAATGAGAAGATTTTGATTAGTATAAAAATAGTTCTACAAATAATCCGTTGAGATGTCATTATAATTTGTAACAAAATATATTATAAATATTTATATTTTGTTTTCTAAACTTTAATTTGCATGTCACTTCGAAAATGGTTTATCATAGTTTATAACAATAAATATTATAAATATTTTAATTCTTCATAATCTAATAATTTAAAGATAGTTAGAAAAATGACCCTTTGATTTATCATTTTAATACCGTATATAAACTATCCTAGAAGTAATTGCTTACTTATATTTTTATATTTTTAGATTAATTTTTTAAATCCATGGCATAAACATACCAATTACTATTTTAGATTATTTTGTACTGAAGACATTTTAATATGAATATATTTATATTTTATCGTATGAATAAGAAAATCACAGTGATTTGTTATATTTATATTTATAATGTTGACAAATAATATTCTATTTTATTATTGTGATAAATATTATAATAAAATTTCCATAACTGATTTTCAATATTTAGTGTGTAATTTTGAAACTTCATCATGCATATTTCAATGATATTTTCTACAAACAAAACCTATATAATAGTTCCTTTTTTTTGAGACATGTTGTAGAAAACTAAGGATATGGTTTTGTTACCAAAAGAATACGAAATTGCATGGATTCGTAATAATATTAAAAATTGGATTTTATTGTGGTAATTATCACAAAATAACTTTAAAAACTGATACCACTTTATTTATATAGAAACTCATGATATTAACCGATGAATGATTTGCAAAAGGTAGGTATAATTTGATTTTATTTTTAAATAAATATAAAAAAATATGTTACATATTTCCTTTAATAGTAAGTCAATTTATTTAATTACAAAGTCAAAATTACTATTTTAGAGTATCCCAACAACCTCTTTCTATATACTTTTTGATCCGTTCAATGCATGGGACAATATATTTAAAGTAAAATATTTAAAATTTGAAGGATATTAAATTGTGAGATGATTATTATACATACGACAATAATACACAACTCGACAATAACATGGGAAACTTATATCATATATTATTGAAAATCTCTTTATTATACAATTTTTTTGTTTGATTTGTTTCATCGTCACCACAAACTAATACTTTCAAACAATTTCGATTGGTGACACGGGAGCAACGTGTAACTGATCCTTCAAAACTAAACCAACATGGGATAATGATTGTCTTTGACTCTTATTTTTAGTCAAGGCCTAAGAAACTATAATTGAGAACTTTTGTTTCTTGATTATGTTTGTTTCCATAAAATTATGTTGATTATGTTTGTTTCCATAGAATTAGGAATTCAATATATATTTTGGATAGTGACATCGAATGCGAAAAAAAAAAAAAATGAATGTTGTTTATTAAGTTTATATCCAAAAAGTATTAGGAAACCAACTATATAATTTTTTAAAATCGAAGAAGATTCCTATATCTTCTAATCTATACTTATTTGTTGAAAATGATATCATTACGGATAGTAATAAATTTCTTTTTTAGTTGGAAAATTGCTTGAAATAAGTCCAAGACTTCTGTGGATTCTTTGTATTGATATGTATAGCACTGTCAAACGGGCCGGTCCGGTTCGGCCCGCGCTGACCCGCGGTTCAAACGGGGCGGGCCAAAATGGCCCGCATTTCTACGGGCTGGGAAATCCATGGCCCGCCCGCATTAGCCCGCGGGCCAAATCGGCCAGCCCGCGGTTTTTTTTTTTTTACTTACTTTTTTTTATTGTTATTATAATTTTTTTTTGCAATTTATAATGCAATTTTGGTTTTTAAATTCAAACTATTAAAGGAAAAAAGGAACAGTGGGAATAGAATTACTTGTACAACATTTTGATCTCGTGGTGACCATATATTGTGATTGAATTGTGGTAAATGCAAAATAAAATTAAAAACTTTCATCCTTTAATAATTGG